AACTTCTGATTAGGCCCCACCTAATACTTACGAAAGGTGCATTTCAGTCCTCAGTTTTAAGTTTCTCTCAAAACTGTGATATATTTTCAGAAATTATATTTTCACCCTAAAAATTAAGTATTTCTGAATCTTAGGTCCCTTTTCACTCAAAGTCTTTTCTTTCAAAATTTCAATTCAATCCTTTAAGTTGAAAGATTTTCTGGTTTTGAGGCAAGGGCAATTTTTAAGGAATACGAAGTTAATTTAAGTCTTGGGGCCGTTTAAAATATTTCAATTATTTTGAGGGACCGACTAATGTGTGAATTCTTTTAAATTCACTTAAGGTTTTGTTTGGTCAATAAAGTGAAATTCGTTTGGAATTTCAAATTCGGTTTTTTAAGGATTACTTAGGGAATTTTCAGATTTTAAAGTTCATGCCTTATTAGACTTAAATGTTTCAATTAATTGGTCGAATTAAGGATATGAATTAATTTATTAATTCAATAAGTTTCTGACCAAGCATAATTTGAACATTAACGAATCAAAATATGATTAATGGTAATTAATTAACCAAATAAGGGTTGACTCATTCGGCATTTGAGTCGAAACCCTTGTTTTAAGTCTAAAATTGAGTTACTAATGCAGTCTAAATCCATATAAAGTTAGATTTATTGGTTAAAATTTATTTTTTGCCTCTAAATCTAAATAAAGTTGAATTGTGAGCCTCACATTATCTTTAGCTCAAATTCAAAATAAAGATGGATTTGATGTTTTCAATTCATACTCATCTTTATGAATAACCATATTACCGAGTTTGATTCGAAAACAATATAATGAGGTCTTTAGAGCCTTAGCGTTCAACGACTTTTAATTTTTTGAGTAATTTTTGGGTACATCTAATGACTTGTTATTAAGTTTGTCTGACGTTTAAAAGAACTAATTGAAGCATGATGCCACCCTACGTGACCTCTCTGTGTAGATTAGCTAATTGAGAATGTCAAGATGTTTATGCATATGTGAATTCATGCGAATTTTAACACTACCCCTACGGTAGGTTAATACTTGGCCGAACCACATATGCAACTGTGGTAATAAACATGTGATGATTATTTGGCTCCATGTGAATAAAAGTTACATCCCTACGATGAACTTATTATTTGACAGGATTTATTATCAATGTTTGATTACTACAACAAGAGTGTCACTTACAATTAATATTACTGTCCCTACGACTTGATATTAATGTTGTGCTAGGCATCTTGAGATGTATTCCATAATTACTTAAAATTTCAAAGTCAATATTTGGATTATAATGTGAGCATATTGATTTTATTTGCATTCTCTATTTAATTTATTTATCTACTTACACATTATCTGCCTAAAACACTTTTGTGCTTAATTGCACAAATATTTATTATTCTTATTATTATTTAGTATGGTGCATAGATCTTAATTTTTTATTTTGGATATCAATAGAAGAACCTAAAGTATATCATCGTTCTAATTATAAAATTTAAGATCATTAGGTGCATCTATTTTAAATAACTTTTGGGGGCATAAGGTTTAATTAGGGGCTTCGTACTAGAAGGTTCCTTAAAGATAGTAAGGATACGTTTTATTTTAAAACGATAAAGTTGCAACAAATTAGACTTTGATATCTATTGTTTAAATAAGGTATAAAGAAAAGGAACATAAGTAAGCACATTAAGCAATAGTCTAATCTCATTTTCACTTATAGCACTTCAGTTAGTGTGGTTTCACTGACTTGAAAGTGGATATGGTTTAATTTATTTTTCTCCGTGAACGGTCTATATAAGGTTTGTTGTAAAACATAAAGAATAAAACTTTGACCGTACACACGAAGAATAAATATTAAGGGAGAAAAGACTAAGTGCTAATTTGACTAGTACACCTTAAGATAAATATCTATAATTGCAGTTTACATCTCAGCTGGTACGTTGAATAACGTAATTATGCTTGTTTCTCACTTTAATCTGTTCTAAAATATATTTTGACTTTGTACCTGGACACATTTAGTGAATAGATCCTGAGTTACACTATTCACGTAAGTGTGTATATAAGGGTTATTTACATAACCAATATTCAATTGATGTTGAAAGATACATCTTATGTAAGATATTTGGGATTGAGGCTATGAGGACTCTTAGGTTTTCTTTTGAATATGAAATAGACATTTGGTACCGTCATTAGATGGATTTATATTTTCTCTTGAACAAATTCGGTTAGCTTGTTCAGTTGAAAACATTAAGTTTGGTCTATTTCATAATTTAAAATTTTGACCTATAATTTAAGTAAAAGTCTCGTACGGTTAAATCTTGCATAAGCAATTTAAAATGGTACACAATTTCAAGAACAGAACATTCAAGGACATTCAAAGAAGTATGATAAGTCATTCTTCGCTAAGGTACATTTAGGAAAAACATTAAGAGCTGCAATATATTATTTTTTAAAAGGGGAAATTTAAAATCTTTTAAGGATGTTAAGTTTGAGGGGAGAAATTTAGATTAGAGACATTGTCTTTAAAGAGGAATCAATTCGATTCCTAATACTGCTTTTGATAATGTACATGTTTTTATACTTGTCATTGTTTGAAAAGTAGATTTGGAGTTTTGATAAGACAATGTTGAACAATTCCTCAATCAAGTTTTGATAATTGTTACTTAAGAGCAAACTCAACAACCTTAAGATAATAAAACATTAAAGATGAGTTGAAATTTAGAATGACAAGACATTAGGATCTTATCAAATTGCCATAAGGTGTGAAATTCTTTGGTTACAAATAATTGAGTCCAAATGAAATTCAAATAGGCAATATTGAAAGATATGTGGTGCGTTTAGTCATTAAAGATTTCACTCATATCGACTATATTAAGAGATTTATGGACACAACGAATATGTTTCTCAAATGGTAACATTTATGGAACAATAAAGTGCAAGCATAAAATCTTAATATTTAAAGATTTGAAGGATATTGATTGCAAACTAAAGTAGTCCATTAATGAAATTAAAATTCCCGTTAATGATGTTACAATCCTAAGTTAATTATCTCATATGCACTTTGAGATAAATAAAGTGAATGATTGTTCATACCCAAGGATCAGTGGGAGATAATCTCACACCAAAGGAGACTTGTTTAGTCTCATTTCAATGCCCAATAAATATTTTTAAAATAAAAGAATGTACGCATTTGGTTAATGTGTGCATAAAGTTAGGCAGATATTTGAATAACCCTATAAAGTGGATCATTTAGCAAAGCAGCCAAATGGATTATACAGTAATTATAGGGAATGTAAGTTATATACATATGCTCATTTATCAAAATCAGATATTTTGGGAGATCGTGTGGTTTATTCATGATTTTGATTTTTTATGATGCGTATAAAGTATAGATCCATTTTGGTTAATGTAAACCTAAGTGATTGAGTTATTTCGACATGGGTGTTAAGCAAACACTTTAAGCTCTTTTCACGATGGTTAAAAATTTATGGTTATTTTTTGGCATCTTATTTTGAATATAGCTATAAACACTTGTCATTAGGCTGCACATGTTGATTTGTATTACAGTTATAGGGTGACAATATTTAACAGCTATACTTTCGAACAACAACAAGAGCTTGTGAAAGTTCTTTGTTGTTAAAGGTACAAAGTGAACAATACATAGAGCATATTAAGATAAACTCCACAATTGCGGATCCGCTTACTAAAGGATTAACACATAAGGTATTCATGAGCATTGCTCATGTAGGTGTTATATCATTTAAGGATATTTTGGTTCAGTGGGAGTTTGTATGTATGTGTACATATAAATACATTTTGGTAGCTCTATGATATGTTTGGACACAATTTTGTGTATTTGGTTTTCTGCAGAAATAAAGTATTTGGCTACACTTTGTACAATTATGTAAAGCTTTGGTCTCAATAAAGTTTAGAGTAGGACCAGTTGGAAATAGACATGTTAAGATCACATTATATGTAATTTCCATGCTACACACCATGATTTGATCTATGTCGTTTGGCTATATTGATATACGTGATTAATGTTGGGTTTAGACACGATCAATGTGACGAAAGCCTCTTTAGTTCTATATTAGTATGGTCAATGGACGAGATTGTAAGGAATACCTTTTTATATGATAGCAATATTTGAGCTCATAAGGTGTACACATTTATAAGGTATATGTCATATGTGGCCCAAGTGGGAGATTGTTGGAATTATTTCAATAATTATGTGGGCTCACATATGTGACGAAATGTGTATGGCTATCTTAAAGAAAGTCCAAAATTAATCGTGATCTAATAAAGGTTATTGGGTTGGACTTATGGGTATTAAACTATAATTATGGGCCTAATGTGTAGAGACAATTAGGGCTTAGTTGTGATTTATTGATGGGGCTGAATCACAATTATAATATAACTGGACTCTACAGTTATATAAAGGGTCGTGGTCCCCAAAGAAACGCAACCATTCCGTCTCTTCTAAAATCCATCGTTAGAGAGATAATTAAGGAATTGCGGATTCTTTGGAAGACATGTCCCAAATCCAGTGGAGATTCGAAGATTCGATTCCATGATGTAAGGTACGCTTCCGTGTTTATGTTTATGTTTAATTCTCGTTGATTCAAGTATGTTGGTTCTTGGGAATTGTATGTAACAATACAAGCCAAAAAACACATCTTATGATCATCTTGTTTCAAAATGTAGAGCTCGAATGGGATAAAACGGGTGCAAAATTGAGAATATTTCATATAATCGAGAATATTCCACTAAATTTGACACCGTCCACCTGTGAGGGTGGACGTGTAAGAAGATTTATAGTTGATGGTGGATGTAATTACCCAAACATAAGCGATTTTTTTGTAATTTGACAATACCTCAAGAGTTGATTGTAATTTACCCTTTCTTTTCACTATCCTCCTCCATACACAATTTTAGAAGACTAAATAGAGATAAATCAAATAAAATCATAATAAACTATAAGGTATGTAGTCTTTGAATAATATATTGAGAAAAATCATTAAAACAATACAACTAAAAAAAAATCTTCATTTTAGTCTCATAATTGCTTAAAAATAATCTTATAAATTAAAGCTATTGTCAAGAAGCAAGTCCTCCCACTCCCATAAATTGCTTCTTCGAATCTTAGACGTCCAAAACATGTCGTCTCCGAGTGTATCCTAATATTCATTAAAAAGAAAAGGCGAGTCAATTTTTTTTTCCAGTATATCTCGAAAATACGCTAAATAAGTGCATTGGCGATATCAGAATACGGTCTAGCTAGACATACGATCACTACAAGAAACTACTTAAATTTACCTCTTTAAGAATATCATCAAATAATGTGTCTTGAAAATTTTCCTTGTGATGACGTGGAGCTTGTGATTCATCACTTGTGTCGATAGATATAGAATCCATGTTAATTTTGCCGATTTCTCGTCCCTCCGTATTTTTCAATTGGCTCGAGTTTGAATTTGTATATAGCATGCTAGTATCATTCATGCTGCTAGCCTTCGTTGTGACACTCATTGCAGAAGCGAACCTATTGAAAAATAGTGAAAAAAAATATCAAGTGAATTAATAAAACTATATACTTTTATTTTACTCAAATTTAATTTGCAAAATTATTAAATCATTGAAGTTTAAATTTACCTTGGGTTCTCGATGTTGCATAAACTTTGGTTAGACATGTGAGTTACACCTGAGGAAGTTACCTGCAGAACTTGCTTTTACTTAGGTATCACATCTTAAGAAAATATCGTAAATTTCAAATATAAAAATTAACCGTGAAGAAATTATACAATAAAAATCGATTTTTTAATTTATTTAGAATTATTTAGAACAATTAATAGTACCTCTAATGGATTCTGGAGTGATGCGAAGTCGCATAAATTTGACGAGATTGAAAAATTGGGTATATTCGGTATCGCTAAATTCTCATTCGCTGCATATTTTGCTCCATCGACTAAATCTTGAAGTATGCTCTCGCGAACGCTAGCACTAGAAAAACAATTTCTAGAATTAGTATATTAATTTATAAACTAACATTTTAGGTAAAGTTTATTTAATTACACTTGCAATTGTTTAAAAGTACCAAAAGTTTACCTATGTGGACATATAGATTGAATTTTAGCTTGGCTCTCCAATTCATTCTGATTAAAATTTTAAGAATATTAGTTCAATGAAATAATATGAATTAATTAAAAATATATTGAATAAATGACATATATATATATATTAAAAATAAATTAAATAAAAAAATATTTTCAAAAAAATTAAATAAAATAGGTAGGACTAACTTTTTTGGCAAAGACTCTTTGTAGAGAATTGGTCAAGTTTCTTTCATACCAACACAATTGATGCAAAGAAGGCTCTTGTTCTGGACCGGGTTCATAATCCCTATACATAGTACCAGTATAATAATAATTAAAATTAAATTATATGATCTATAATATATTAGTTTGGGCAAAATTACAGCTACCTCCTGAGATAATATCAAATTACAAAAACAATCTTCATATTTTGGTAATTACAATCAATTCCTCAATTATGTACTGTCTTACGAAAAAACCCCTCTTTACCTGAGACCGGTTTCTAGAATTTGCAACTCCAGCTCCCTCTTTTTAATTTGAAGCTCAAGATTCTGATGTTACAAAATTAAAATAATTATGTGATGAAATATTTTTATTTCGTTAAGAAATGCAATAATAAAATAGGTAATGAGAAGAAATTAAATACGTACCTCAATTCTAACATTAATTGACGCCAGGGATGAATTTGCAATAGTGCACCAAAATCAAAATATTTTAGTTAGATACAAATATGTTAATAATCGACAAAAAATAATTAATTAAAAGGATAAAAAAATAAAACTATCCTTAAAATGCTTCAAAATATAATTAATTATTGTTAAATTAGGGATGTTATTGAGAAATCGTATTTAGTACCCAAATTGAACAATTTTAATACTAAATATAACGAGTCAACCATCTTACTAACCAACTAAATATAATTAGTGCATGATCTATAGTTATTTGTATAAATCTACCGTTAAACCTCTATTAATCTAGCGAATTATTAAATTATTGAGTTAATAATTTAACACATTTCACCGAGTTGGGATCGAAAAAAATTATTATTTAATCGAGGTTATTAATTTATCGATGTTCTACTGTATAGTGCATGATCAGCCGGTGGTAGCATCTCATAGACTGCATGACAATAGTCTATTTTATGCAATTTAATCGAATTATATTTTACTATACACATATATTTATTACGCACATCTATATGTATATATATGTAATTGTATGTATATTAAATATTAAAAACTACCAGATGTATTTCACTAAATATAACATGGACAATACTTTTAGTTAATATACCAATAGTTCCACACAAAATTACACATTTATGTCACACACACACACACACACACACACACACACACACACACACATAATTACACATTTATGATACACACACATAAAATAAAATAGAGAGAGTAAAAAGGAAAAAATAATAACTGGTTGTCGAGATAGTAGATCTTGTTCATATCACCCTTAATGTGACCAAATTGTCTCAACTTCTCCATTTTTTCCTACATGACGTCATAAATAAAAAGTGAGTTTATTTTAATTTAATTTATTCTATTTTATTTTTTGAAAAAAAATATATTTAAATCTTACTAATTAAAATAAAAAATAAATACCTGAAAGTTACTTATATGGCTGTTGCTCATCAACCACAGCAAGATCAAGAATTTAAACAAAATTCACCCAAAAAACAATATATAGAAGTGAGAAGTGAATTAAATATTTAAAGAAAAAATAAAAATAATAGAATTAAAGATTAAGACTATCGTATCTTACTTCGATCGACTTTCTACCGGAAGATTGGCATAACGTTCGATAACATCTTCAATCCTACGAAAAAAAAAAAATCTCATAATTCAGTATATATTTCATATTAAGCATGTTTATATATGTTGATAATCTTCAATGAAAACGAAAATATCGAAGGCGAGTATTTATGAGGAATAAAATAACATAAAATAAAATAAAATAAGACCTTGTTTGGTTGCTGAACTTGCTAACACGACCGGAGGGCGAAAACGCAATAAACGCAACATCGACACCGCAAGAAACGGCAATTTCATTAGCCTTTTTCATCACACTGCTTCGGCGCTTCGAAAATGTTACTTGACATTTTGTTACGTCATCTATCTTTTTTATATCGATTTTTCGTCCCATTATTTTTTCGTTTAATTAAATTAAACTACAGGATGAGGGAATGAAGTGATGCTGAAAATGAATTATTTATAGGCCAGAAAAAATAAATAAATCATAATGGTAAAATCACAACAGTAATTAATTGCCAGCTTATCAAGAATCTGAATTAATCCCCAATAAACAATATTAAATGAACGGGTAATTATTATAATTACTGTGTTGAGTCGTGTTTGGCTAAGGCCATATTGGAATTAATAAAAATAATAATTTGTATCCCTAAAATAATACAGATTATGATATCATAATTGTTAAATTAGGGATTTTATTGGAAAATATATGTAGTACCAAATCATAAACGTTTTAATACTATATCTAATGCAATCCCTAATTTAATAATAACCCAATCTACTCCGAATTAATTTCAGTCCATACGCGCTATAATAATTTTTTGGGGCAAATTACGGTCAACCACTTGAGATATGGTTTACGAAAAACCCCTCATATTGGATAATTACAATTTACAATCACCCGCGAATTATATACTGTCTTACGAAAAAACCTCATTCTTTAGTAGGTAAATTTAACACCGTAAACATGGACGTGCAAGACAATACATAATTGAGGGAGCTGGTTGTAAATACAAAATTGTAATTATCCAAACATGAAGGGTTTTTTTTCGTAATTTGACCATACCTCAGGGGATGCCCGTAATTTGCCCTAATTTTTGCCAAACAAGACTTGTAAATAAGTCATGGAGCAATAAATTTGAGTTGGTTTTGCAAATCTAGTGTTCTTGATTCTATTGGTTTGATTAATTGAAAGTCAATTATGTTTATGTGTAGGACACAATTTTGATATGTGGATAACCCCTTCTTTTATTGCTCTATATAATGGTGTATATATAAATAAATTCCTAGCCATGCCCAAAATAAACAAATGGACTTTAATGAATGATATTTACATGAAAATAAAATGGCAAATAACATATAAAAGAAAAGGAGTAACTAAAATTTAATTTTAAGGTCTAATGTAACCTTTGGTTTCACCACATCCCATAATAGATGATGGCAATTTTCCTACCTTTTCTACCCCTTCTTCAAAAACCACACCCATTCCCATATAGAAATGGGATTCTATATGGCAATGGAAAGCCCAAACACCCGGGTTATCGGCCCGGAATCGCAGTGCGGTCCATCCGAACGGATGGACCGCGACTGTATTCTTCATAATCGGGTCGACCAAGTTGTATCTCTTCGGATCCTCAATTGAATCAAATTTACCCGACCCATGGCCCACGACCCAGAAATCGTGGCCGTGGAGATGCCACGGGTGTGTCTCGCTATTGTTCTTATTCATCGTGTTCGCATTCTGCAGTACGATATCCACCGTCGTGTTGAACTTCAATCTATACGCGCCGTTGCTAGCGGTGGCGTTGGAATTTTTCTGCACGCTGAAAATATCGTAGTTCTTCGAGTCGTAATTGTCCGGCGGCGGCCTCTGCTCGAACGCGTGCAGCATGTTATGCTTGTACGCGATCAAGTAGGGCGTGTGCGGGAGGCTGAACGAGACGTTGTTGACCGACCACCGACGGTGGCCGTCGATCTCGTTCTGCGTGTTGAGCATGACGATCACGCGATCCGACGTAAGAGGGGGGGCGTGGATGAAGCCGCGGTGGGACTTGATTTTCGAGCTCTGGGCCAGTCTAGGGACAATATCGTCCCACTGCGGGCCCACAGGGGGATTTGATGCAGGTTTTCTTCTCGGGTGATTAGGATAGTAGTTCAAAACGGCTAAGCCGTTAGGGGTCGTGCTATTTCGACTGACTATTTTGGCACTAGCCCAATAGTTTCTAGAAGGGTCTCGATCGGCTTTGATCAGAACAGAGTAGGTTTCGCCCGAGTAGATGAATAGATTCTTCACAACGAACGGCTCGACGTAGTGACCGTCGGATTCGACTACAGTCATATTATGGCCCTCGATTTCGAAACTCAATGCCGATAGCGCGGTGAGGGATCCGATCCGGAGGCGGTAAGTTTTCCCCGGTACAACCGTTAAAGTGTAAGGTGCACATTCCGGGTTCGTCGCGTTGCATAGCCCGGATGCAATCCCGGGTGTGCCGCAATCGAATCTTCCCCTACCTTGGATCAAAATTGACTGCAAAATTCAATTTAAAAAAAAATTCAATACAAAATTATCAATCAATAGTAGTAAAATAGTGGAAATTAAATAAATTAGAAATACCTGAGGCTCTCCAACCCAAACAAAGGGTTTAGAAGAAAGACCAGTAGATTGTTCATAAGTGTTCCTGTGGTACCAATCATTGAGAATTATGCTTCTATCGTAATCGTAACGAAACGGCTCCGATTCTCCGTCGGGAAGCGATACGCGGATCGACCCGTATAAACCGGCTTCTCTTTGCATACCATAATGTGCATGATACAAATATGTCCCAGGCTGTAAGTAAAATAAATCAAGAAACATGATTATTAATTAATTATTTACTCAATTGACCCAAAAATAAAATAAAAAAAATCAAGAAAACTTACTCTGTCAACTACAAATTTGTAGATAAAAGTGTCACCAGGTAAAATTGGGCACTGAGTCACCCCTTCTGTACCATCCATCCAAGGTGTACCAATCTGCGCGAGTGAGGTATAATTAATAAATCGCCCGAGTCGACCCAGAAATATTATTTTATTAACGAGCTTTAAAAAAATATAATTTGAGTTTGATTTGATTATCAGTCCAATAAAGTCAGAGGTCAAATAAATTTGACTTATTGCACACTCTATATATCATTTTCTTCCCTAATTAATCGGAGCTATGTTATTGAATGTTTAAAACTTAATTTGATGGGTACATAATCTATGTACTAGCTAGAGAGAGAGAGAGAGAGAGAGAGAGAGAGAGAGAGAGAGAGAGAGAAGTGACACCTGTCTAATGCCATGCCAATGGATTGCAACATTTTCAGTAAGCAAGCTGTTCTTGAGCTCGACAACAATTGTGTCTCCCTGTTGAGCGACGATGCTCGGGCCGGGAGTTCGTCCGTTGATTGTGATCGCGAGTTTCTTGTAACAATCGGGGGATTTGAACTCGTACTTCACTTCCCATTTGTAGTGCCGAATCTTCGCCTCGACTATCGGGACCGTAACGGAAATAACGAGCACGCAAAGTGTAATAACGAGTTTCATCAAACTAGTATTGAAAAACTCCACCATTTTAATTAGGACAATGATTAATAAATTAAAATATAAAATAAAAAAGACAGATAGAAGATTTTTTTTATTTTGTGTTAGGAAATGAAGAGATGTTGGAGTTGGTCTTATAAAGAAAGTGAACTAAGAATTGGTCATAGAGAGAGAGTCAATGCAGAAAATTCATAGTCTTCTAGAGATCTAGAGAGAGAGAGAGAGAGAGAGAGAGAGAGAGAGTATGTATGTATGTATGTACGGTCAACTTAAACAACTAAAAGGCAAATTTCTTAGCTGTTTCCATTTGGTAAACTATTTCAATTTTTTTTTTTTTTTATTTATATATAAGAAATTAGTAAAATTACTTCACAATTTTCATATCTTTGAAAGTCAAATATTGGTGTTGACCCTGTTCTTACGTGGCTGGGAATTAATCAATGAAGCTTCCTTTGATGTAACGTACATTTATTTGTAGTGCAAGTTGTACAATAATATTTGTAATATAATGCACAATTAATTAGGCCATCGATATCTCTATCGAGGCTTGCTTTTGCTATATATAAAGTTACGAAGAAAAATCATGAAATCAATTTTAAAATATCAAGTGAATGAGAGCTCAAGACTTTTAATCTAGTTGACTTATACTTTTTTTTGTTCCGGTTCGGTTTAACCGGTTGAACCGTAATATCTGTATCAGAGTGAAAATTAGGTTTTTTTGCTCTAAATTATGTTTTTTTTAAATAAACAAACAAAATGGTCAAAACGACGTCACTTTTTATCACCTTGTTGAAAAAAAATTGAAAAAATGTGTATAAATAATTATAAAATTGGTTGAACCCATTTAAGATGGTCCAACCGTGACCCAGTAATTTATCAAGGTCAATGTCCGATCCGATTTTTAAAATATTGAATACAAGTATACAACTAGGAATTTTGGCAGTAATTCTTAATATTAAAAAATAAAAGTCACCATATGCAAAAACGCGTAATCTACTCCCTTTTGCATGCAAAAATAATTATAATAATAATAATATAGTATTAGTATTTGAATATATTATCATATCCATAATCCCCATGCACACTTTATTAAAGGTAATAAAGGGTATCACAGGCTGGTTCGATTCGAATCAAATATGGAAAATTGTAGCTTTCATGTTACTTGTATAATAGTCGGTTTATATTATGATGCTACATCGGGTCAAATATATCAAATGGATATTTACTATTCACATACACACAAATACTCACACATCCACATTGGTGTGTAGATCAACGATAAAAAGTCCACCCAATATGTGTAATATTCACCGGATGTAGAATATATATGCAGTTATAGGATTTATTAATTAACGAGGCTTATATATGCAGACGTGTCTTTTTTACATTGCATGTGATTTTTCGACATGATTTTCAATTTCTTTAGAGAAACAAGAGATTTCCTCGGTCGAAACTGCTAGCTCGTAACACAAATGATTTGAAGTAAGAGTGCAAATTTAATCGTCTTAAGTTACATGAATATTTGAAGAAAAAATAATAATTTAAAGCATTTCGGGTGCAATATTCCAAAATCCTTTATTCGCATTCGGATCATTGCACGAGAAATGCAAAAAAAAGAAAAAAAATTGAAAAACTAAAAGAAGTATTTTGGGTTTAATTATACGAAATTAATGAACGGGGTTCGGGTAGGTAAGTGATTATTAGTGAACATGAAATCCTGCTTTTTATTAGTTTTACGTTTTTCTTTAAATTCGTTAAACGTATTAAATTTATATTATTAATACTGAAATAATTATACATGTAGAACTCATTTTCAAAAGCTAGCTTAAGAAGGGGATATCATATACTCAGTTAATTAAAAAATATATATATATGAAACTTGGATAATTAACAAAATGTGACAATATTGAGAAAATTTATAATTGATGGTCTTTATTACTGTATTTAGAAATTTCTGTACAGGAAAAAAACATTTCTATTATTAGAAATGACGTAAGCAAATACTAATTTTACTTTCCTAATTATGCAAAAAATAAAATTTGCCTAAAAACCCCTCATCACAAAATTATTTTGAAATGAGGATAGATAGTTTTTCTTGTTTTGTTCGCTACAGTGACAGCACAGCAAATTTGAAATATATTAATTTAATCTTCACATAATCAGTCAGCTCTAAATCATCCTCTTTTCTCTTCCCAATTTCAGTCTCTCCCAACTGAATTCAGTAAGCACTTTTTCTTCTATATATATATATATATATATATATATATATATATATATATATATATATATATAATATTTCATTACTTTTTTTTTTTTGTAGTTCACCAATGGCGGTAATTTCGCTTCAATCGTTTGTTATTAATGAATTTTATTTATTTATTTTTTGCGAAGCGTTCAATCGAAATGTTGAATGATGAATGTCAATGTTTACCCAGGGTTTTAATGCTTAAATTAATCTCGTGTTATTGTCAATTTAGCGTGTTTGAATAAATCCGCCATTTTTTTTAATTTTTTTTTTTGAAGAAAATTCGCTGGATTTATTCGTTCATGTTATCATGTATGTTCAATTATAGTTGAAATATTGCATTAATTATTAAGAACAATGATTTTTTATTTTTTTTTAGTTTTTTGTCAGAAGCAAATGGAAGTTGATATGAAACTGATAAACCCTAGGGTTAATTCAGTAAAGCTTTCAAAATCAGTAGCCATTACAGATCAAGCAGCTGCCCTAACACAAGCTGGTGTGCCCGTTATTCGATTATCAGCTGGAGAGCCCGATTTCGATACTCCATCAATAATCGCCGAGGTTAAAAAATTATCGAACATTTTAGAAAAAATCAACCTTTTTTGTGATTTTGGAATTTAATCAAGGGTATGTTTAGGCTGGAATAAATGCAATTAGAGAAGGATACACGAGGTATACTAATAATGCAGGCACTTTGGAACTTCGAACAGCTATTTGTCGTAAGCTAAAAGGTAAATTATTAAGGTTCTTTTCGTGTTCGTGGTAAGTTTCTTTAATAAGATCGATGTTTGATTTTTTTTTACTTACGTAAACAGAGGAAAATGGGATATCTTATGCAACTGATCAGATTGTGGTGAGTAACGGGGCGAAACAGAGTATTCTACAGGCAGTTCTTGCAGTTTGCTCCCCTGGAGATGAGGTGCATATTAACTGTTCGATTATTTGTCGATTTCTAATTTTTTCACGTTATGATCTAAGAATGATTGATTAGCATTCATCTTCGTAAACTTTGATTTGATTCAAAAAATTGTTCGTTCGCAATATCTTTACAATGTCGGTCCGAAATTTTCGATGAAAGGATGGAAAAACGTGCCCTATTATGCAGAATTGCAGATATTAGGTGGTGTTATATTTTGGCTCGTAATTTGTTTTCAAGCTTTTGCAAATGCAGCTTTTGGGTTTGCAGTTGTAAAATTAAAGTCTGTTTTTAGCAAATATATCAAATTATAAACTGACTGCTTAAAGTTGATTTTTTGAATATTTTGCAATCACCCTCAACTTTTAGAAATAAGTTGTTAGCCCAAACTTTTACTCAACTTTTTCAAAAGCTTATGAGAATCACTTTTGCAGGTCCTAATTCCAGCTCCATTTTGGGTGAGCTACCCCGAAATCGCAAAGTTGGCCGATGCGACACCTGTGATACTTCCTACTCGGATATCCGAAAATTTTCTCTTAGATCCAAACCTTCTAGAATCTAAATTGACCGAGAAATCAAGGCTGTTGATTATTTGCTCACCGTCCAATCCAACGGGCTCCGTTTACCCACAAAAATTACTCGAAGAAATTGCCAAAATCGTGGCGAATCATCCCAGACTTTTGGTAGATTCCATTTTACTTATCTAACTAATCATTCGCTTTATTTCAACTTTTGATCATTCTTTTCTTACTTTTTTGTTTTGTTCTAGGTTTTGTCTGATGAAATTTACGAGCATATCATTTACGCACCGGCAACTCACACGAGCTTCGCCTCTTTGCCGGGGATGTTTGATAGAACTTTGACCGTAAATGGATTTTCAAAGGTAAAATGTTTGTTTTGATTATAAGGCCATCGTTTATGATACATTATGTCTTAATCTCGATTAATTAAATTAATGTTGTAATGACTTTTCGTAGGCCTTCGCAATGACTGGTTGGAGGCTCGGGTATCTTGCTGGTCCAAAGCACTTTGTTGCCGCATGCGCGAAGATCCAAAGTCAGGTAATTCTTAGTGCAAATCAAAAACTTCTCTAATATATAAACGTTACGACATTTTTAGCATTTTCTTACCCAAAAAAATTATATCCTTACGCCTCGTTTGGTTGGTAAAATTAGCCATGATTATTTAAATAATTAGATTTGATGTGATGTTACGGAAAAATGAGCTCTTATATTAACTTATTGTGGGATTTTATTTTAGACTGCCCCTAGTCCAATTATATAATTGGGTTCTCATAATATTAATCATAATTTTATCACGGCTAATCTTATCTCAAGAACCAAACGAGACCTAACAATCTCAAATAACTAGTTTGTTGATACAGTTCACTTCAGGGGCAAGCAGTATATCACAGAAAGCAGGTGTTGCTGCTCTAGGCTTGGGATATGCTGGCGGAGAAGTAGTTTCGACTATGGTTAAAGCTTACAGTGAGAGAAGAGATTTTGTCGTCAAAAGCTTTAAAGAAATCGAGGGCGTGCAATTATCGGAGCCTCAGGTATTATTATTATTCCAAAAAAAAAAAATCAACCACCTAAATTTTTTGTGTTATGAAATTTAAAAAAAAAAAAAATCGTTTTTCGGTGTTGTTTTTTGCAGGGAGCTTTCTATCTTTTTCTTGATTTTAGCTATTACTACGGATCGAGAATCGATGGCTTTGGTGTGATCGATGGCTCCGAATCTTTGTGTCGATATTTGCTTGACAAAGCTCAGGTGAGAGAAACCCTCGTTTTATTTCTATTTTTGATTGATTAGATTGGATAGTATAATGTAATATGAGATTATTAAATTTGATGAACTATCCTAATGACGAGATTATGATGCCATTGTTCATCAAATTTCTAAAATATCATCGAGTCAGGGGTAAAGTAGGACATTATTTTTTGTTGTTTATATAGTTGTTTTTGTTGATATTAACTATTGTTCGTTAATTAATATATAGGTCGCATTGGTCCCGGGTGATGCTTTTGGAGACGATAGCTGCATTCGCATCTCCTATGCAGAGTCACTTGCCACTTTGCAGACAGCCGTAGAAAGAATTAAGACAGCATTCGTTTCTCTCAAACCGATAAATCTTTCTGCTTCTCAATCTGCTAATTCTCAAGAACTTCAAATAAGTTGCAGATTTTGTCGGAAGATATAAAGAAGTTTGTAGTTTTATATATATGAATTGAGAACATAAATCACTAGTTGAATATGTTCCGGAACTTGGGGTTGGAATATACTTTTTTTTCGCTCGTGAATATGCAACACATGACTAGATTAGAGGTGTAAATGAGTCGAACAGGCTTAGCAGCAACCTACATGAGTATTTATAACAAAAATATCCGTAGCGGTAATTAAAATTCAAAAATCGAGACGAGCTCCAAAAAATAGGTATATGTTGAGTTCTAACTTTTGATAAATAAAAGAGATTTTAAGAAAGTAACTGCATAAGAAAAAACACGAGTGACACGACCTTGAAAGGAGACTAATGACTTATTTACGTACAAATCGAGTGAAATTAGCGATCACTAAGTAATCGAAATCGAGTGACCGAAAAAATATTAATTACCATGTTGTTTTTGTTCTTGTTCTTGTGAGACCTTCATTTCTCTTCTTTTGTTCCACTTCTCAACCTCCTTCACCAATAGCCCTATTTCTTCCTTTTCATCTTCATTCCCTTTCCTAACAATTATTAGCTTTCCCTTTTTGAATGTGTATGGTAAATTGAAGCACATTTGGATTTTTATTTTTTATTTTTAAAAAAATATATATATTTTACTTTTTTTGCTACAAATAGGCTCATAGGTTAGAATGAGGAAATTGATATATACTTATGATGAACATAGTAAACGAAGCAATAGTCGAAATATAAAACATTTTTAATTTGTTTTCTAGTACTTTGTTGGTGATAAAAACAAAGATGAAATATAAAAAACAACATTGTATGTAATAATTAATGTTAAATGCATATATATTAGCGGCCTTAATATATATACCCCCCCTACAATTTTTTTGGGTAAATTACAACCACCCCTGATGTATGGTCAAATTAATAAAACCCCCCTTTTGTTTGGATAATTACAACCACCCCCTCAATTATAAATCTTCTTACACGTCCACCCTTGCAGCTTTAAATTTAGTGTAATCTTCGAGATTATATGGAATATTATCACTTTTGTACCCGTTTTATCAATTCGAATTCTACATTTTGAAGTAAGATGATCATAATATGTGTTTTTTTGCTTGTATATATCAGATTGTGGAGCATCAGAAACTGTATTTTTACACAAGAAGGAGATAGATGTAATTATCCAAACAAGAAGGATTTTTTCATAAATTGACCATACCTCAGGGGTGGTTGTAATTTACCCTTTTTTTTTTAAGAACTAACTCACAACAACAACTGAATCGTTACTACACGCCCTCCATCAAATTCATTCCAGAATTGCTCCCCCACACAATATTCATATTATGCACCTAATAATTAATCCTTTTCGTTTTCTTTCTATCTTTTTAGGGTACATTACAACCACTCATTAGGTATGGTGAATTTACGAAAAAAACACTCTTGTTTGGATAATTACATCTACCTCTCAACTATGATTTTTTCTGACACCTCCACTTTTATGATGTCAAATTCAACATAATCATCTAGATTTCGTGGAATGTGCTCTAGTTTGTACTCGTTTTGTGTAAATATACAGTTTCCGATGCACCACAATATGATATATACAAGCCAATAAACACATATTATGATCATCTTGCTTCAAAATGTGGAGTTCGAATTGGATAAACCGGGTACAAAAGTGATAATATTCCATATAATCTAGAAGATTGCATAAAATTTGAAACCGCAGGGTGGACGTGTAAGAAGATTATTTAGTTGAGGGGTGGTTGTAATTACCCAAACATGAGGATATTTTCGTAATTTGACCATACATAAAGGGGTGGTTGTAATTTACCCCTCTTTTTATACAAGAACCTTGGAGTTTTTCGTTATTACAAACAAAATCTGATTTATAATTATTATTTTTTTTATTATTATTATTATTATTATTTATTTATTTTGTAATTTTATGTCAATATATTACTCCTATATATTAAGAATATGTTGTACATGAATTAAATTGCAATAATACGAGATGAGGCATCAAATTAAAATAGCATATCATCTACAACCAGATACATTTATTTGCCATCTTATATTTGGACTAATATGCAAATAAAATATATATATTTCTAAAGTCATCAAAGTAATATGTAATTAAAGACCATAAAACCCCCCATTGCATTTGATTGGTCAATTAAAGTTTCGCTATCTTCAATTGATGAAAAATTGGACACATACCTCTGTCCAGATACACATTTGAAATTAAAATATTTAAATCCATTAATATTGGGTAGTTGTACGGATATTTAATTAAAGACAGTGGCTAAAATTTCAACTTTCATAAATGTGTGTCCATTGAAAATGAATATAATAATATTAAATTAATATTCAACTAATACTACATTTATTTATTTGCCTATTCTAGGAAAAAAATTAATTATTATTTTTTTATATTCGTATGGTACATTTTCTATTAATGAGTTGCGTGTTATGAGGATTTCATTATATTTAACTATTCATAGTCAAAATATATTTATTTATTTTTTATTTTTATTTCTTAATGTAAGCTCATTAACTCTGGTCAATTCGAACCTAAGTGTTGTGTTCGGTCGATGAGATGTTTTATCCGATGAAAATCATCAGGTGGTTTTGCACCATCGATATATACAAGTAATCACACTCTAAGCATACATATATGCGCATGAGTGTGCGCCATTGTGTGTAGATCAATGGTTCAGAACCTATATTTCACCGAGTGTAGCATCTACCAAACTATGGTTATCTATGACTATGATTCCATTTTAGGATGGTATTTTAGTCGACCATCCTTTTATTTTCGACTAAAATGATTATATCTATAAAATCAACTATTAGAGTATTAAGTAGATAATTTCATCCGATATATGTACAAATTGGGTTGATTACTATTTACTAAAATCTTCAAAAGTCGGTTGATCGATCAAAAGACCTCTTACAGGACACTATATTTTATGATTTTCTGTTTTGGGTAAATTACAACTACCTCCACGAGGTGAAATGTAATTATGAAAAATTCCATATTTTTTTAGAAATTACATCCAGACCTCTGAAGTTTATAAATTTCTTACATCCAGCCCTTATAAAAGGGTATTTATGTAAGAAATCTACAAACTTCAGGGGAGTGGATATAATTATAGAAATACAAGGGGGGTTTTCGTAAATAGACATTATCTTAAGGGGTGGTTGTAATTTACCCTTTTATTTATAGTTAATTATATAAGTAATTCATTTAATTACTAATATTAATTAAAAGAATTATTAACATAAATATTCATAAAGAGTATTAATATTAATTTATAAAATTAAAATTCTGTCTCGACGACCAAACGAGATCTAACAAAAAAAGTCGGCTACCACCGAGTTTAACCATAATCAAATAATTAAAAACTTTCATAAAAAACACTAATTCAAAACCATTTCATAATACAAACACAAATCAATTAGTTCTTACATGAACATCATTAACTCCATCAAAATGCTCTCCTTTTTTTTTCTTTTGCAGCCATAGTCTAGTTATATATATTTACTACATCATTAATTAATTAATTAATACATATACTACTAAAAGAAAACCATTAATTATTTGCGTCCATCCATAATTCCATATACATACATATATATACCATTATTCCATTACCATATATATATCATGTCCATAATTTATTAGTCATGCTGCCACAACAGTCTTGGCTTTGGCGGCGGCGGCGGTGGCCGCCGCTAGCTCTGGGCGGTGAATCTCACCCTTTTCTGCAACCGCCGCGGCGGCGGCGGCGCGCCTCTCTTTTCTCTCGTCTTGCTTTATTTGTTGCTCTCTACACTCAAGGCTACAAAACGCAGTGTCACCCCTGTAATTATTGAACAATTAATTAATTAACACACATTTGTATTCCATGATTAATTAATTTATAGATGCAGCAAACTTTTGAATTAAATTTCATTTTCGAATTTTGAAGTAATTATTTTTTGTGTTTCATAATTTAGGTTAAATTACAAAATCCACCCTGGACTTAGGCTAAATAACAAAAAACACCCCTCCTTATTCAGAATTACCAAAAAACCCCTAAGGTTTGTTTCTCTTACACCAGCCTCTTATAGTGTAACTTTCCACTGATTTTTTTTTCGGGAATAGACTTTACACAATTTCAGATATATTGCTCACCTATTTAACAGAAGGTATAATAAATTGTACACATTTTTTTGTTAAAAACTCGATCAACAGTTAATTAGAGTGTGATTTTGGTTATTACAGATTTGTGGGGTTGTTTTTCGTTATTTAGTCCAAGTTCAGGGGATTTTCATAATTTACCCAATAATTTAATATAATAAAATCATGAATCAATAATAAGAATATTGGTATACAATTTGTTCGATCTTAAAATTCATAACAAAAAAAATCTAAATTTTTGTTATTTTTATTTGTTTCGCCAAAAATAAAAAATGGAATATTCCATAGGAGTGTATATATATATATATATATATATATGGAAGAGTACCTATACATATAGATGTCACGACGAGGCGCCAGCCGGCGGTTGCAGAGGCCGCAGCTCCTCAAGAAATCCGCCGTGCCGACGCCGCCGGCCGAAAAAACCGGAGAAGTATTTCCAAAGTATCTGGGAGACAGCATGTAGTTATAATCACAACCATTAAACTCGCCGCCGCCGCCGATCACCGTCAACGGAGGTTGAAGTGGCGGCGCCGCCGCCGCCGCCGTCTCCTCCTCCATACATCCCACATCGAAGTTAATCTCCTTCATGCTTGTTGTTCTCCGGAAAGAAGAAGAACCGCGTTTGCCCAACATCAAATCTTTCGAATAAATTCTCACTTTTGTGTGTGTTTTTTGTGTGTGTGTGTGTGTTTTTTTGTGTGTGTTTTGATGAAGTGAGAAGTGTGAGTTTTGTGGGAGTTAAAATAAAGATAGTGGGAATGAATCTGGGCCGTTGGATGGGAGAGAAGACACTACAAGGTGTCCACGTCAGCCATCACTTTCTAATTTTAATCATTTTTGTCACTTTTGCCCTTTTTAGTTTGATTGGTTCCACTATTTCTTTTTGGGAATTGATATATAAAAGTAAATTTAAAAAAAAAAATAATAAAGAAAGAGGATCTTCTTTTAAATACTAATTTCGCTCAATTATTGTGACTATGGTTTAAATAAAAAATTAATATAAAGCTTACATTTTTTTAATATTGTACAACACTGAATTTTTCAAGAACTATTCATATTTAACTCATTTTTGTAATAAACAAAATATGTTTAGGGAGTAAGGCTCATTTCTTCAACACACCTCCTCAAGTGCGCAATTTACATTTGCAGTTTTGCACATGAAAGATTTAAAATGGGTAGAGCAGTGGGATTCGAACCGACTTTAATACCATGTTAAATAGTCGCATCAGTCAAAAGTTTAAGTTATTAGTGAAATATATCATTTAATATTAATATTTATGATCAGTCTAATGGCATCAGAGCAACTTCCATAGTAATGGTAAATCAAAGATCTAAAATTTTATTATTTTTTTATGTGCGGGTCGTAAGGCCATTTTAAAAAATGGAATATTCATGCTTGTAAATAGATTTTTAAATAATATGTGCGTGTGTTGTAAGGCAATTTATAAATAAATAAATAAATAAAAAAGAATATTCATGCTTGAAAATAGATTTTTAAATGATATTTGTTTTTAAATTTTATAATCATACATATTGGACTAATTCTATGTTACATACTTACATTGGCAATATTCAACTATATACATGTGTGTATGCCAAATAATATAATGACATATGAAAAATATCTAGTAATTTTTGTTGAATTTATATATTTTTGGACCAATAATGAATTAATAATATTATAAAGCCTTTTTGGAGGTTTATTTGTATTTTAAATTACTTGCATAAAGAAAATGTAGTTTTTACTTTTTATTATTAAAGTAAGAAAAAATGACGCAAACGGTTTGCCATCAAGGGGAAAGGTTCCAGATTCAGTGGGGCTGTCTGTCAATATTCTCCAATTTTCTTTTCTAAAGAAGTTTTCCAAAGTTTGAGGGACTGATGCCACAATAGTGACATTTTACATTTTATTAAACAAATGTGTTTATTGTATTTACTAGTGGTTGTGTTATATTATAATGAATTGCTAAAAAGGTCTCTATGTTTTTTAATATTAGTAAACACTCCCCTATTTTCATTTTTCTTGCTCACAATATCCCTTGAGTGGTGAGATCTAGAAGGGTAGATGGTTTATTCTAATATTAATAATCAGAGATTTTTTTTAATAATTACAAAAATATAAAGGTGCTAAATGCAATAACATCGTGTTGTCCGTTTCAACTAATTAGATGATACATATGGTTATTTATATTTGGTGGATTTCAATCGTAGATCTGTACATAATCACACACACACATATGTGTCTGTGTGTGTTTACTGGATAGTTATATAATCAAATTTACTGTTGAAATCCACCAAATATAAATAACTACATGTATCGATATTTTTATACAAAGATTTGTATATGTAAACTTTCTAAGAACGAGTTTTAAATATTTATGTGAGTCTCCACCTTCATACCACATACAACCATTCAATTAAATTATTATTATTTTTTAAAAAGATAACCATTCAATTAATTGATATTATAATGTTATGGCACAATGATTCAATCTCCTTTAAATTTGGTCCACTTCTCTTAGTGGAATTTTGTGACGAAATTAGATGCATGACAATTGACAATCATATACTTTTTTTTTTCTCCTCAAATTGTTTGAGAAAGTGACCTATGTATTAAGAAAAAGGTAAACTACAACTACCTCCCTGGTATAAATTGTAATTACAAATAAACTTTTTTTATACAAATTACATCAAGACCCTTGCAGTTTGTAAATATTTTATATGTAACTCTTACAAAAAGGTGTTAATTGAAGATATCTATAAGATAAAGATGTAATTACAACAAAAAAAAACATTTTTTTTAATAAATTATATCAAATCTACATGCAGTTTGTAAATTTCTTACATCAACCCACCTGTAAAAGGGTGTCAATGAAATATATCTATAAATTGCAGTGGTAGATGTAATTATAAAAAAATATTAGGGGTTTTTCGTAAATAAGCCTTACCTCAAGGAGACGGTTGTAATTTACCCTAAAAAATAATTAATAACGTACTAGGCCGGTCACCTGGTTAGGCAATGCTAAACTCCTAAAATAATCATTTTCAACAATTTTTATTTTTTTATTTTTAATTCACATTTTCAACAATAATTATGTAACACAAATGTGTCAATTATTTGGGACCAATAGTGGGTCCCGCCACAAATTACCTCTTTATTAACATGCCAAAAATGTATATAATTAATGGGGTCGAAATTTAATATATAGATTATTATTAATTAAAATAAATTGATAATGCTAAAAAAAATAATAATAATTGATGTTCCCTAACAACGTAGCCCTAAAAATATGGGTGATGTTAGGCCACGTTCGTTTGCTTTAAATCTGCAAAATATATTTTGGTCAAGAAATATAGATACACTATAAATAGGTCACAGCTACTCTACACCTTATATATAGAGGAACAACAAGAATATATTTTGAGAGCTATTTGAATATTTTACAAATTAATGGGACGACTCAGCAATTATCAAATTAATTGTTCTTGAGAAAAATAAATAGTGAAAAGAAAATAAACGACTAAACAAGGTAATTCTCGAATCTGCAATAAATATTCAAGAACCGAAATAACTCTTGAGATAATTCTGTTCAATGGAGAGAAACGATTCGTTCCTGCCTAAAGAACACATACATGTTGGGGTTGTCGGAGCTTGAAATTAGAAAAACGTCACATCTCCCAGTTTAAATAATTATTAAAAAAAAAAAAAAAAACAAGACATCGAGAAAGCATAGTCTACGACGACAACCACAATTTTTTTTCAGTTTTTATAATTATTTAAACTGGAATGAGTGGTTTTTTTTTATAATTTTCAGATCGTAGACCAAACGGTGTTAAGGTCGAAAGTTTGAAAACTAACAACGAAGGCCATTTGAGATAATTTTTCAAGTGCAGGGGAAATCGAGGCAGTCAAGAGTAGAATGAGAATAAAGTAATATCGATACAAAGTACAAGGAGATAATGAAATTTACCAAAAAAATAAATAATAACTGATGGGCCTAAGCCCAAAATAAAGAGCTCACTAAATTAAGAATGGCCCAGTTCAAAAGCTTAACATTATATTAAGCTAATACTACTTATAATATACCGTTTAATCGCCCGTGAGATGCTACATCTTGTGAAAAGTAGCGGGTGATTTTACACCACCGATCAGTACAAATAATTGTTCACCAAGCACACACATACGCATGTTTGTGTGCGTTATTACGTGTCGATTAATGGTACACGATCACTCTGTGTATTTCACTGAGTGTAACATCTACAAAACTCCATATAATCATAATTAGACTTGCATTATATTTTTAATCACTCTTTAATAATCTCTCAAGTTTTCTCCCATTTTTTTTTTTTTTTTTATGTCAAAGAGTTGATTTGAGCGTTGACTATTTTCATCGCTGAATAATAACTGGTAACTAATAGCCCAGCCTAAATCGGGCCTGAAAGCCCAGTGCTGTATGTGGAGAAGTTTACGGGCCTGAAAGCCCAGTGCTAAATATCGAAAATTTTAGATTTTTTTTTTATTTAATGAATTAGATAAATAAATTATTATTTCTTATGACAAAGTGAGACATAAAAATGAACTGTTAGATTAGACATTGTCAGATTTGAGTCAGGGCCCAGGTTTGTACAAAAAATTGTCCAAATTGACTAATTTCTGACACAACGAACCCTAATAAAATCCAATAAACTTAAGGTTGTGTTTGGATAATAACTGATAAACAATATTACCAATTCTTTCTACAAATTAATAATATTGATAAAATATATATACATACAATAGAAAATGTGTGACATGCATTATTAAGTATATATATAAAAAAGGGGAAATACAGATAAATCCCTAATCCAAAACTTAACACACAGATCAGTCCCTAGGTAGTTTCCCCAAGCAATTCAGTCCCTACTCACGCGCCTAACATGCAGTTCAGTCCCTAATAAAATGTGCAAATACTAAAATACCCTTTACTTTATACTAATTTTACATAACTTATTTCCAACCTCCAACGCGCCGTTTGTGTTACACGCTCTTTGCCCGTTACATTTCAAAAATCAAACAACAAGAAAGAAGCTAAAAAGGCGCAGGAAAAAAACCACCGTTCAGTTTATACCCATTTACAGACAAAGAAGAAACGGAGAAGAAACGAAGAACAAAGAAACAACAAAGAAGGAAGAAACAACGAAGCACGAAGAATCAACAAAACGCAGAAAAATTATACAACGAAAGGAAAAATAAAAATAAACAAACCCATTTCTCGACAATGGTGAAGCAGGGTAAACAACAAGGTTTGATTTTTTTTTTCTTTCATTTTCTTGGAAACAGACCCATTTGGGTGTTGCTTAAGCTTGCAAAAAGGTTTATTTGTTGTAGAATTGCATGATTTTGAACATATCCTCTCATGGGTATTATGCCTCGACTTTATTCGGTGTTTTCCCTAATCATTAAATCGGTTCCAATATCTGTTTTTCTGTTGTTTGGGTTTGCAAAGATCATTTATTTGTTGTCGAATTTCATGATTTTGTAACAGTTTCCTCATGGGTATTATTCTTCGGTGACATTAGCATGTCCCCAAAGGGTTTAACAAGGGTTTCATATAGGATATGGGAAATAGGCTTATTGTATTTTTCGTACTGGTTCTATAGTATGTGTCATGGACAGTAATGGTATTAATAGTGCATTTAGATGGTATTGACACAGGGTACTCGAAGTACTGTCCCGAAAGCATTTAGATGGTATTGACATATGGTACTAGAAGTATAATGTTTGATGCTCCTCTAGTATAAGTCATATGCCATAATAGTATTACTAGTGCCTTTGAATGGTATTACTAGTGACTTTGGATGGTATTGACATATGGTACTAGAAGTATAATGTTTGATGGTCCTGTAG